CCGGAAAAGGGTCGAGCCAGAAGGATCCTGAGATTCATCTGGTCCATCACTTGTCATCTTCCAGAAGGAGAAAACTAAGCTCCAGGAAGGCCAGGAACATTCTCGGAGAGGCTGGGGCAGAACCCCCTTCGCCTCTCACTCACCAGCTTACTCTGGCCTGACCCAGACATCAACTCCCAAGGCTGCTCCACTGCACCACAGGCTTCCCACAGAGTGCCCCCCGGGGCCGAGCAGAGTGCCCCAGACCAGCCCTGGGACGGGCAAGAGTGGCCCACTAGGCCTTCTTCCCTGAGACCTCAGGACCCTTGAACCCATGCCTCAATGTCCGTGGCTGTCAGAATCAGTAACGAGAACCGGCATGGGGGCAGGGAGGGTGACCGGGCTAAGGGGCTCACAGGGAGAATTGGGGAGCAGAGGGCTCAACTCCCAATGGACACATGGAATCCCTTTTCAAATAACACACAAAATTAAGAAAACAAGTCCTGGAATTGGAGAGTAACTCAGACTTTGTACAAACAGATGGTGATAAAATGCAGTTGTCCTAATATTTGGATAATTTAAGTGCCCTCAGCAGTTCAGGCAAGCTAGGGAATTAAGAGAAGGAGTTTAGCCTGGGCCGGATCAGTTAGCACTTGCTTTGAAAAGTCACAGGCGAGTAAGGAAGTCCTAGAGTATGACGAAAATACAATAAGAAACGTTCTTCAAAGAAAGAAATATGATGCCAGTGAGTGGCACCTGCCATCAGAGAGACTCCATGACACAGTAGAGCGAGATGATCAGAAGGACGGACTTTGAGACCTGATTTGGCACTTATTAGCTGTGTGACCTTGCCCAAGCCACTTAACCTCTCTGACCTCATCTCGGTAGTAAAGTTACAACAATAACGCTGCCCTGTGGATCTTACAGGGCTCTTTAGTAATCGCTTGTGACGGGAGAGCCTGCCACAGACGTTAGCTAAGGCATCAGTGCAAATCTCAGCTGTACCACTGACTGGCTGTGCAGCTCAGGTGAGCCTTAAACCCCTCTACGCTTGGACTTCCTCGCCTCTGAGAGTACTGTGAGCCGCCTCAGTGGCCCTAGTGACCCACGTGCCGAGGGAGACAGGAAGTTGTCACGATGCCCTCGGCACCGCCATGATCCAGAATCCGCGATTCTCTTCTCTAATGGGATCACTTGTGCCAACTTCCTTACTGTTCCATGCACATAAACGGAAGGCTGTTGCAACATTTAGCATGATATGACTTTGCTGGGTAAGGAAATAAGTACTGAAAAGGAATAAGCAGGAATAATGAATGGGGGCAATCATATGTGCCATTCATGTGAGGACTTGGGCCCCAAACCTTACAAAATCAGTTCACGTTGACTTAGCTGAGAGCTGGTCGTAGAGATCTTTATTAAGAGTGAAAAGCACCAGCAGTGATGAATGGCTTATGTCAGGTTGGGATAAGATAACTAGTGAGTGACTGTGCAAATGGTGATAACTCACGTTTAATCTCTGCTCCCCAGTGAGAGCAAGAGTAATTGGTAGTTAATGAAATCTGCAAAGACACTCAGCCCATCTCCGGGGAGCCTCTTTAGGGCTGGAGAAACTCAACCCAGGAAGACCAGAAATAACTTCAAAAATCTGTTCACTTTCTCAGAAAATATTTAGTCCCTTTAGGCACCGTGGAGTCACAAACCAGTAAGGGGTCCAGGGACTGGGGCGCAAGTTCCAGGCAAGTGTTAGAGCTCGGAGGCGGAGCTCCTCTCTCAGCCAGAGAACATCCTCCCAGGCAACACTGGGCGGACTCCTCGGCAGGCCTGTCTCAGGCAGGTCCTGCTGCGGTCCTGTCCAAAGAGGACGAGACTGGACTCCAGACGGAGGGGACAGCACACACACAGCGACCCAGAAGCAAAACCGCAAGTCACTTAGTTTGGTCATGCTGGAGCAAGGGTGCCTGCCCCCTTCCATGGCCCGGAGTTCTCAGGCCATGTCCCGGTGGAAGGGCTGGGGAGATGTCCGCTTGAAGTGGGCAGTGAGAGTGCCAGACCACTCGGTCAGCAGGTTGGCACACACACAGAGGAGAAAATGGAGGTGATTTGAGAAACATTGAAAGGTAGAGTGGATTTGACTTAGGATTCCTGGACATGTAAACTGGGGGAAGCTCAGAAGCTTTCCTGGCTTGGGTGGTTGGACAAGTGGTGGTTCTGCCACAAAGAGGAATTTTTGAAAGACAGCGCTAAGGTGGGATTTAAGGTTTTGAATCTGGACGCAGTGGCTTTGTTGTTCCTGTGGAACAATGGCGCAGAGGGGCCTAAGTTAAGAGGGAGACTGCAGGCTGTAGATAAAGGTTTGGGACCCATCAACATGTGGGCAGCAGCCCTGGGCACGGCTGTGAGTGACAGCACCCCCGGAAGAGGCCAAGGACAATGTGCCAAGAGCCCCAACAGCCGAGAGGCAGGGACCGGGAAGGAGTGTCCAGAAATGAAATGAGAAGGCAGAGATAGAGGGGCGAGAGGGCGCAGAGGGAGGCATGGAAAGTGTGTGTGCCGCAGGCAACCAAGGATGCTGAGGACCAGAGTGACCAGCAGTCCAGGACAATCAAGTAACAGCAGCAGCACTGCGTCTCACCTGCCTCGCTCCTCATGTTTTTAGAACACTGCAGTACTGAGTTTGTTTGGTTCACTGACGCCATCGCTCTGTCACATGCTTGCAGAAGTGGAATCTCAAGAAAGTTCAAGGAGACGCATGTTATAAAATAACTATGCATGCATTTCCAATGTTTTTACTAAAAATTAACTGCTCTTTAAATTCCACTTCCAACTTTTGGAAGTACCATTATACAAGAGAGAACCCTCGGAGGTTTTCAAGCAGAAAAGTTACCTGAATAAGTGCTTTAGGGACTGTTCACTGTTGTCTGGCTGTCAAACACATCACGTAAAACAAAATCGTGACAATACACAAGAGTCAGCTGGGTTTCTTTTGCAAGAGAATCCCTCCCTGCCCTCTGCCCCCCAGTGCGACGGGTAGTCTGCACCAGCGAGGGTCACTCCTTGCGCTTGGAAGTCACAGCCGCCTGCCCATCTGAGATCACACCTGGCCTCGGTTCCTCCACCTGCACAGCATCTGGAGGCAGCAGGCGCACTGGCCTGCGGGAGGAGGCGGGCTCGGTGGCTGCCTGTCGGGTCTGGTCCCAGCCCACGCATAGCCTCGCAGGCAGGCTCTCCAGCAGGAGCCATTCACAGCGCTCTGGCCTCTGGGATTGTCTGCTCTGCTGGACATGAGTCCGATCATCTGTCTCCAAACCTGCCTATCATTTATAGCACAGAAGTAACAGTAAACAAGGACCTCCGCCGATGTAGAACACTTCCCTCCTGTTAAGGCTCAGATGATATCATTGCAGGGTTATCGCGCGGAGGGTTGGCAAGGCCCACACTCATCGCTCAGGGCTGGTTTCTGACGGGGATGCACAGCCTCGTTGCCAGCTGGTGGCCCGTGTCTGGCCTCTTCCACTGACCCATAGTGCTGAGCTCCTATCAGAGGGCATGGCTGTCAGAAACAGCTGCAGAGCGGCTGTGTGACCTGTGGGCCGGGGGTAGCTCCCCTCCTGTCCAGCTTCAAGCAGGCTGTTCCTCTCTTCTCCCCGAGCTGCTATGGATACGGCCCTTCTGCACTGTGAGTGTGCTGTGTATGTGAAAATGGCTGGCTGCACCCGGGAAATGAGAGCGAAAAGGGTCACAATACTTACTTTCTCACTCACTCTGTTGTATTGCTAAGATGAAAACATTCACTATACGAAGACTCCAGACTACGAACATGCAGGGTTGTTAGAAAGGCCTGTGCTGCTCTTGGGAATAGCCGTAGGACGTGCTGGGATGCTGGTCCTCCAATGCACTGACCACGCCAGAGATGGTGCGTCACTTCACGGCTGGGAAGTCTCAAAGCGCCAAACTGAACTATCACTAGGATTCTTTTTTGTTGTTGTTGTTGAAGATTTATTTATTTTTATTACAAAGTCAGATATACAGAGAGGAGGAGAGACAGAGAGGAAGATCTTCCACCCATCAATTCACTCCTCAAGTGGCCGCAATGGCCAGAGCTGAGCCGATCTGAAGGCAGGAGCTTCTTCCGGGTCTCCCACGTGGGTGCAGGGTCCCAAGGCTTTGGGCCGTCCTCGACTGCTTTCCCAGGTCATAAGCAGGGAGATGGATGGGAAAGCAGAGCTGCTGGGATTAGAACTGGCGCCCATATGGGATTCTGGCGCTTGCAAGGTGATGACTTTAGGCACTAGGCTACTGCACCAGGCCCACTTTGATTCATTTTTAAGATTTCTTCATTTTACATGGAAGGGGTATGGGGAGGGGGTGGGTAGGACACGGGAAGGGATAGAAAGAGAGATGTTCTACCCTTTTGCCCACTCCCCAAATGGCTGCAATGTCCAGAGCTGGGCCGATCTGAAACTGAGACCCAAGGGCTTCTTCCTGGTTTCCCACATGGGGCAGGAGCCCAAGGACTTGGGTCATCCTCCACTACTTTCCTGGGTGCATTCGGAGTAGGAACTGGGTCAGGAAGTGGAACAGCCGGGACTTGGAGCATCGGGGACTCGAATCAGCACCCGTATGAGGTGCCAACATCTCAGGCAGAGGCTTAGCTTGCTACACCAGCATGCCAGCCCTGCTACCATGATTTTTTCAAAAGCATGAAACATTTTTGTGTTCTATATCACCGACTTGTCGCTGGATTAAGTCATGTGTCTGAAGCTAGACTACCAAATTCAAACCCTAACTTCCACACGTGCAGGCAGAGTGACCCTGGGCGAGTCCTGAGCCATCTGGAGGAAATCAGAATTACGCTAGTTACATGCCTCGGGGGGTTGCTGGGATGCTGAGTGATCAACTCAGGGACCTGGCCAGTGCCAGCTGCCAGGCTGACCAGCAGGCGATGCGGGGCATCCAAGCTTTGCTGTGACGGTTCTCTTCCAACACACTGACGAGTCTCACGCCGTTTTTCCTCCCTGTAGGTCTGTGCAGTTGAATGGCCAGCCCTTAGTCATGGTGGACGACGGGACCCTCCCGGAATTGAAGCCCCGCCCCCTGCGGGCCGGCCGGACATTGGTCATCCCTCCGGTTACCATGGGCTTTTATGTGGTCAAGAATGTTAATGCGTTGGCCTGCCGCTACCGATAGAGCACCCTGCGCTTGCCAGCTCCCCGGGGGCCTGCCGGACTGCTCTCCAGCCTCCCAGCCCCGTAGTAGCCTTACTCTCCAAACCTCTCCGCAGCCAGTTCCACTGCCCCTGCTGCCGTCCACACAGACTTGCACTCCGCAGATACTTAATGCTGTAGCCTGAGCTTAGCCTAGCTAGAGCACACAGCCGCAAGGAGACCATGGCCATTGTCTGTTGCTACATCAGGACTGAGGTCCTCAAATAGAGCTGTGTGCTCCCACTTATGCTCACCAGGCCAGATGTTGCCAACGCCTTTTCCCCTACCCCCAGTCAACACACACACACACACACACACACACACACACACACACACACAAACACACAAACACACACACACACACGAGCAGTGTGGCCCTACACCCTCAGCCCTAGCCTTTGTGGTTGCTGCCCTCAACAGGAAACAGACCCACAAGAGCTCAACCGTTCTAACTCCCTCCCCTTTGTCTGCTTCCTGCTGCTGCCCTGGGTTTCCTTACACCCCTCTCTGCTTGGAGGGGCAGGTGGGTGAGCAGCCCTGGCCTGCTGGGCGAGCTGTTTGTGTAGTTTCTTGGCTGATGTATGAGTGTGTGCATCTGGGTTTCTGACAGTGGCATCCATCACCGGCTGTTCCTCTGGGAAACGGGTGCTTCGCAAGTAGAATTACACTCACGCTCCGGACTCTGTGAGAAGGCACTGTTCCTCAGTGACTCCAGATCCCCCAGGCTTGGAATGGGAGTCAGGTAACACCCTCTGTTGAGTGTAGAGCAATGTATTAGCAATCACCATCCTTCATGCTGCTGTGGAGGGGAGGGTTTCAGGACAGAGAGAAAGTACACTTCAACATCAAATGCACACACTCACACGGACCTTAAAGCAAGTTAGACCTGCCTCCCCCCACCAATGGAGAGATTACTGAGGGCTTGATAAGGCAAGCCAAGCCCTTAATTGTTTGGCTGACCAAACCGTTTTGTAAAAGCAAAAGGTGTTATTCGGAGGTCATCACTATAAAACACAGTTGCATCTACCCTCGTTTCTTCCTGCCAACAGCTGGCTGCCTCTCAGGCAGAAACCCAGCCTGGTCATTACAGATGACTTGAGCACAGCGCATGGCTTTCAGTGAGAGCAGGGGGAAAAGGGACCTGGGAGGCTGAGGCAAGACTGGGATGCAGAGTAGAAGGCTTCTGAGTGCGGACGGGAGGGGTAGAGTAACTTCAAGGTGGCGAGAGGATCTGAGGGCTCCTTGGCCCCTGGCAAGCACCTGGACCCAGGTCATTTCTTTCCTTTAGTAGTTTTCTTTCTTGAGATAAATGATGCAAATAATACTTTAAAAATAGGAGATGTTTGACAATGCAATTTCTGATAGCGAGAAAGATGAGAATTGGGGTGTGGGGTGGAAGCAGGGACCAGGGAGGTTCAGGACTTACTTGAGCTAAGTCTGCTGCAGGAGTGATGGGAACGAGAGTAGACAGAAAAGGGAGCGTGCAAGCCTCAGGTTGGAAAAACGAGAGGTGGGCAGCAGCTGCCCTTTGTAGAAGGAAGATGGCCGGAGTGGGGGGAGAAGCACCCAGGAGGTGTGCCACCGGGAGCAGACAGGGCCACGCCCCGTCAGCAGCTGTGCATAGGACGGAAGCACCTGGGGAGGAGGCAAGACCCTGAGACCTCGCAGCCAGATACCCAGGCAGGGAAGTGCCAAACTGGCGGAGAAAGGAACAAGGGGACTAGAAGCAAGGAAAGGGGAGGTAAGACAGAGATTCTTTCTCCAGGCTTGAAAGACCAGTGCAGATAGCGAAGGCTGTCCTTTGCACCCCTGGGCACAGCCGCAGGCCCCTGAGAGTTTGCTACGAATGCTTGAAAGCCCCATAGCGCTGCTGCTGCTGCTGCTGCTGCTGCTGCTGCTGCTGCTGCTGTCACTGCCTTAAGGCCCCGTTGTCCCCAGATTGGGTACATCTGGTGACTTGCTCTAGGTCACCTAGGAAGCCTGGGTTGCTGAACACAGATCCCTGCAGACTGCCCAGCTGACCGCAGTGCTTGGCAGGTGCACAGATCGTGGACTCACCGCATCACCTCTCCATAGGGTCAGCTCACCAGGTCCAGCTGCGGCCTCCAGAGTGTCACTCAAGCCCAAGTGTACATAGGTGCCGGGTCTTCCTTCACTAAGCTTTGCAGAATGTAGGCAATTCCTGCTGCTTTGGTCTTTCTCTGTGTATTAAAAAATGCTCCCAAGAGGTGTAAGTTTTGTTCATTTTTTGGCTAACAAAATGGGAAGGGGGACGCTTAAATTTGCTTGGAGTTCTGCAATTCTCCCTGTCTCTGGAATGAAGGACTTGCCTTGTTTGGGAGAGACCAAGATATGCTGACGTTGCTGTCTGCAGAGATCCAAGCCTAGGGCCTCGGCCTTCTCCTTGGAATAAGAAGAACACTGCCAGGCATGGGGATGGGCTGTTGATGTGCAAAGGGAAGCTCGGCATCAGAGCCACGCCGTCACACCGAGGGGAGGTTTGCCAAGTTGGAACCAGGGACGGAAGTGTGTGGAGCTCATCCACCAGCTTCCCCAGCTCAGATCTCCCCTTCCTCAAGCCAGACACAGCCAAGAGCAGCTAAGCCTCAAGAGCCCCGTGCTTGAAAAAAAAAGACTAGGTTTGCAGAACAGCAGATTTGAAAGGGCCGTGGTGCCTGATGAAGCATCTGTGCCTTTTGTCCAGGCGGTTTTCTGCTCCTGTTACTTCGAGTAATTATTTCCTTTCTCATTTGTTATCCAAAGGGCTCAGAACAAGTTTCATTGTGATTTAAAGGCAGAGTCCCAATTCTTTTTGTGCCCTTAAAAAAAAAAAAAGCTGCAAGTATGGGATATTAGCACCATCTACAGTGAGAAGAAAGCTTGCCAATACAAGAAACCAGGCAGGCAGACCAAGACCTGGGACAACAGGGCCACTGATCCCAACAGCCCACTGGTCCCTGGAGCCCCGTGCCTCCATGGCAGCTGGGCAGTACCTAGAGGCAGGGGGCCCCTTGCTCTCACCCAGGCAGAGGTGCTTGTCAGATTGCCCAAGAGACCCCGACTCTAGGCAACCTCTGGGCCCCCTAGAAGGGAGGACTTGGAGGGGCTGTGGTGCAGGGCAGCACCTGGCACATACAGTGCGTGGATGCACCCACAGGATTCACCTCAGACATCCACTGAGAGGGGCTTTCAGAAAGAAAAGGACCAGGTTTAAGCTCCACAGTCACAGAGGCAAACCCTGTCACCACCAGTTCCACACTGCAGTGTCCATGGGACCGACAGCTCTTGAGCAGTGTCCACATCTGGCAGTGCCTTCCCCCCGAACACTTTATCCCCACTCAGAGGATGCCAGCCAACAGCCATGGTGAGCAGTAAGGAGAGTTGGAGCCAGCTTGGGCTTTGGCAGTTTTGAGTACAAGCTCACTTGTCTCACCAGCGGCCATCCTGCTCTGCTCATTTTTGTTGAACTATGTAAGGACCACTCCCAAATGCCAAAGGTTGACTTTGCATTCCTGAGTTTTGAGAGGCAAGTGGCCAAGCCAGTCAGCCCACACATGCTCCCAAGAGCACTGTCCCCACCCTGCCCTCTGGAGGTTTGGAAGCCCCTTTCCCCAAACTCATTAACAAATCCATTAGTTGCTGAACTCAGGGTAGCCATTGCAAAGACCACTCTAAAACAAAGTCGAACTACAGCAGCCAACTGCTCTGGCACCACTTCCCTGCAAACACCAGATCCTCCCTGCTGAGTGTCTTGGAGAGGCTCATCAAGGGCTCATGAAACAATCCCACTGTCCTACCGCAGACTAAGCGGCCCTTCCTGAAGCCTGTGTCAAGAACATTTGTCTTCTAATTATTACTCATGAAACCCTTCCAGGATTATTTTCCAAGTTGTAAATGTTACGTAATAAATTATACTTTTGGAAGAAGCACAAAGAACCCTTAGTTTTACTCACCTGGAATCTGGCGTCGTGAGTACAAGTAGTTTCTCTGTGAAGGGAATCTTAGCAGGTGTTAATGTTTTCTTCCAAGAAACAGACTATATCATAGCTTATATGCACCTGGTCATGGCAGAGAGTTTGATTTGTAAGTAATAAAATGCAATTGCTCTAACTTTCTGTTCTCTGGGTGTTCTTTGGGGAGAGGGAGGCAGCTGCGGCCCACACCGCGCCTTGGCCTTCAGACTGCTGGATGGACTAGCACAAGCTGGGGAACTTTGATTTCATGGCATGTTATTCTCTTCCCTCTCCCCTAAAGCTTTGCTGCAATTATCTTAGGTACAATTCAAATTTCATAAATCAAGTTACCTGCCACTGACTGTATGAGAATAACTGTTAACTACAGTAGCAGGCAAATGCCAGAATCGCAATGGTTTCACATAACCTAAGTTACTTGCTCATAACTCATGAAGACTGGTGGTTACCAGGGAAGGGGACAGTGGCACGTGGTCATCTAGGGATCTGGATTGATGAAGAGCCACCTCTCTGCATTTGATACCTCCCTCCATGGCAGCTCTGGCCATTAGCGTGCAGCTGGCAGAGGACACAGCTCATGCAGGATGGCACAGGGGCCAAGCCTGGAACTGGCGCAAATCCTTCCACCCAACTCCACTGGCCAGAGTCAGTCACATGGTTCCATCTAGATGCTGGGAGCCTGGAAATGAAGTCCTTACCTTCCTACAATTGCATTTTTTAAAAAAGATTTATTTTTATTATTTTTTATTGGAAAGGCAGATATACAGAGAGGAGAGACAGAGAGGAAGATCTTCTGTCCGATGATTCACTCCCCAAGTGAGCGCAACGGCCGATGCTATGCCAATCCAGAGCCAGGAGCCTCTTCCGGGTCTCCCACGTGGGTGCGGGGTCCCAAAGCCTTGGGCCGTCCTCGACTGCTTTCCCAGGCCACAGGCAGGGAGCCGGAAGGGAAGCAGGGCTGCCGGGATAGAACCGGCACCCATATGGGATCCCGGGTGTGCAGGGCGAGGACCTTAACCACTGTGCCACAGCGCCGGGCCCTACAATTGCATTTTATGGAAAGGAGCATAACAATTTTATAGATGCCAGGAGACCAGTACATAAGTCAATGGTGCTCAAGCCCTCCATTGATTTGCCATCTAATCGTTTGGGTATGCTGAAATCTAAATCCACAGGGCTTTTCTGCAGTCTCCATAATGACCTAAAAATCCTTCATTCCCACCCTCCCCCCCCTCCCCTTGGCTGGTTTACATCACGATGCTTATCCCTCGCTAGCCAGTTAGGATGCGCGCAGTACTAAATGCTGCGCCCTCTACTGGGCATGAGAAAAAATGAAAACATCGTTTGAAACTAGGCCAAATGAATTAGAAGTCACTGTCCCCCACCCTTGGCAGGACAAATGAACACCCACACCCGGAACTGACAGTGGTGCTATCCCACCGGTTCTGGCCACCTCAGAAGTCAAGTCTGTCAGCCCTTCTGGCCCTCAAGCTTCCTCATCTGTCAAGTTGAGGACTTTGGATTGAGGTCCCCTGAAACATCCCTTACCCAGTCCTGTGTCCCAGAGTCCTTGTTCTAGCTGCTGTGAACCTATGTGTTGGAGACAAAGGTAAGTCAGTACATAATGAACGGACAAAGCTACCAACTGGTCCTTGATCAGAGCAGACACCTGGAAAGAACTTGTGTCCAAATATACAAAGCAACAAGGAGAAAAGTCAGCTTTAAAGGGAGCATAAAGAACCTGCTTGTTCTCTGCCTTTTGTGATTCTACCTTAATGGCTTGGCTGGGGGCTGTGGGAACTCCAGGCCTGATAGTCTACGTGACAGCCGTGACACCTGTGACACCCCGCAGGACACCTGGCAGGTCACGTAGGCAGACCACTCCTCAGGAAGGCGGTACCTGGTGTTTGATAAGATTCACCGCCCTATAGCTCATTGATTTGTCCTTTTTGAAAGTTACTTGATTCAAACCCACCAATAGAAGCCTGCTAAATCATGACTGTATAATTAATAGTCTGAAATGTATAAGAACTGGGGGCTCTGGCTCTTGTGCTCTGGCTCGCGCTTCTTTTTGCCCTCCCTGCGGATCCTGCAGCAGCCTCTGCTGCGGCTGCCTCTGCCCCGCACCACCCTGCAGGGCTGGAGGAGGTGGCTGGGAGACCTAGGCTAACCTGAATAAACCACCTTTATGCCTTAGCACCGACTTCAGACTTGATGATTATCTGGGGATTTCAAAATCCAGCACAAGCACAAGATTTGAGCACTTCACAAGAGTGATGCATGGCCAGGCTTATTAGTTATACTTACTAATGGGATATTAGTGTGTTGGGTTAGTAGCTATACTTACTGGAATGATGGAAGTTTTAGAAAAGAAGCACAATATCAAGTGCTAACTAAGCTACGGAGCAGCTAAAGATGGGCACGGCGCGGCAGGGCGCAGGGAGGCTGCGGACACAAGACATCCACTGCAGGGAGTGTCTGGCAGCTTAACACACCTTGCTACATGGACCTGCCGTACAGGCCAGGCACTTGCCCAAAGTGAAAACGTAAATTGAGCCACCTCACACCCATTCACTAACCAAAAAAAAAAAAGTGTTGGTGAGCATGTGGAAAAAAACTGGAACCCCTGTGCACTGCTGGTAGGAATCCAAAGTGGAGCAGTCACTACGGAAAACAGCATAACTTAAAAACAGGATTACCATAGGATCCAGCAAGCCCATTGCCAGGTGGGTGCCCCAAAAGAGCTGAAAGCACCCCAAATTCTTCACAGCACCGTCCACAATAGCTAACAAGCGAAAGCACCCTGAGGCCGCCTCAATGGAGGAGCCGCGTGTGGGGTTTACGTGCAGTGGAGGGGCGTCCAGGGTTCACGAGGCAAGAGCTGGGCATCCATGGGCCTTGAGTCTGCTCTGCCAGGTGGAAGGAGCCGGTCAGAAAGGAGAAGTACTGGCGGAGTCCCCCTGTGTAGATCACTCTGAATTGGCAGTTATGGAGATAGAAAGCAGCTCTGTGGGTGCCAGACATGAAGCAGGGCAGGGAATGGGTCTTATTACAATAAGAGCAATGGCGACAGGTGACAGCAATGGCTGCTCAACATTATGAATTTATTTAATATCACCAAAGTGGATGCTTAAAAATGGTTAAAATGAAAATCATATGGATATTGTACCACAATAATAACAAAATTTTTTGGCACAAAACCTTATAGATAGCTAAAAATACATTGAACTGGGTTAGGTTAACATTAAAAATGTTGGTGCAGGACCAGTGTTGTGGTGCAACAAGTGAAACCCGTGCCTCCAACACCAGCATCCCACAGGGTCGATTGGTTCGAGTCCAAGCTGTTCTTATTCTGATCCAGTTCCTTGTTAGTGTGCCTGGGAAAGAAGCTGAGTGAGGATGGTTCAAGTGGCCCTGTGGGAGACGCAGAAGGAGCTCCTGGCCCCAGCTGGCCCAGCTCTGGCCATTGCAGACATTCAGAAAGTGAACCAGAAGATGGAAGAACTCTCTGTCTCTCTCTGTAATCTGACTTTCAAATAGAACAAATAAAAAGAAAGACAAACCACCTAATGGGAAAACAACTTCTGCAAATCATGTATCTGATAAGGGACTTACATCTAGAACATATTAAAAACTCTTACACTCCAAAAATAGAATAATAGAATTGACATTTATCAGAAGCAGATCTACAAATGAGCAAATATTACTAGCTCGGTATTAGAGAAATGCAAATCAAAATCACGAGTGGGCCCTGCACACACCCTCCAGGATGACTAGGAGGGTCTCGTTGTCCTGAAGAATTGCTCCGGCAGGTGGGACGGCCCGGGACAGCGTCTGACAAACAGCTGCGAGTGCAACCCCCCAACGTTTTGTCCCTCTGCGCCCTCTTGGACCACCGCAGAAGGAACATGTTGAGAGAATCAGGGGATGCAGACCTCAGAGGAGGCAGTCTGAAGAAGCAGCAGGCGGTCGCGGCAACGCCTGGCAGGGGCGGGGCTCGAACCTGCGGGGCGGAGCCGCGAGCCGGCCCCAAGCGGAGGGAGTCACGTGGCGTGGTCATGTGGCCCAACCCGGAAGCGCGCCCGTGTGCTCGGGGCGGCTGGGCGGTGTGGGCCGCGGTCCGGTACGTGAGCCCCCGGCCCTGGACCAGCGCCGCCCTGGACGGTGTCTCCGCGGCCAGCAGGGTCCGCGGTCGGGGTGTGGCCGTGGGACGGTCGCTTGCCCTTCCTACCCAGAGTTTCTGCAGCTGCCTAGGGGCGGGCTCGCTTCCGGGGGCTGGAGGTGGGCAGCACGGGGTTGTAGGGGAGATGGGGATTTAGGGGTGAAACGACCCCGTAAAAGTGTGTGTGCTGGGCGGCAGGTGGGCGGCCACGAACTGCTAATCCTTAGGGCTCAGACCGGGCTTGGGGAGGGTGGGAGCCAGACCCCGAGGCCTCCGGGGCAGCGGCCGGCAGGGAGGGGACCGCCTGCCCTCCCGGTGGTGAAGATAGGCCCTCGGTGGGAGCGGTTCCTCAGGGTGGCCGGTGCCACCTGCAGCTTCCTTTGCCCCTAAGAGTCCCCTGAGTGCCCCCTTTGAAGCAGGGTGGGGTACAGCAGGGAAATCACGAGAAGCCACCTGCCAAGTTCTGCTTACAGCAGCCTAGGAAGGGAAAGTAGAGCCGTCGGTGCGCTGCAAAGCATGCCTGCCCTGGCGGAGCTCAGGGGTGCTGGGCCCCTCCAGCTTCCCCGTGCTGAGTCACTGGCAGCTTAACAAGCTCGCTCTGCAAGCCTCCCTCATTCAGCGTCTTCCAGTTCCTTGCATTTCCCCCTATAGGAACGGATCTGAAATCAGTTTATTTAAAAAGAGGTGGAGAAGTAAGGACCATGACCCCTCCACCCCCCACATCTGCACAGGGTGGCATGGAGGGGGCTTCAGAGAATTGGTGGGATAGTGGAATTAGAGGACAAGGCGTGTTTTGCCCTAGGCTTTTGAAGGCCCCTGCTAAAGGAAGCCGGTTGGCTAAGGTTACTTACCAACCAGCCTGGCTACTTACCAAACATCCGGTGGCTTTGGAGGGGGCTGGATGGAGAGCTGGGGCTCACCCCTCCATTTCCCAGCAGCATTGGAAGCTGCGGGAGGTTTAAGTGGCCTGGCCAGCCCTATTCTGTTAGAGTTTAGTGCATAGCCCAGGAGGTGCTGTGCGCAGGACAGAGGGGATAGGACCTGCTCTGCACCGAGGGGCTCCCAGCACCCCTGGAGAGAGGCAGAGGGACAGAGAAACGGACTGTCCCGAGCAGACTGACCACCCGAGGCCCCTCAGGAGCCCTGTGTCGCTCAGGCCTCTGCTCTGTGCCCAGGGACGGGGGCAGGCTGAGCTCTCGCACGAACCACTGACCGCATCTGTCTGCCGCAGCCTGCGCTGACCCTCTGGCTGCCTGGAAGCGTCCCTGTGCTCCTCGATAAGGTAGATGCCCCCTGTGGCACATGGACTGGCAGCACCCGTGGGGCCTGTGGGAGGCGGGCAATAGACTGAGTTCTCCTGCACTCAGCAGACACGCTCCTCACCACGGCCTTCCCCGGGTCCTTATGCCGCTGTCACCCAGCTCCTGAAGCCTGGTCTCCTCTTTGTCTCTGTATCCAGGTGTCCGCTAGGCAGGCCTGCTAAGTCTCTAAGCTGCGCACCTTCAGCACACGCTTCCCCTCCGCTCTTAGCCTCCCCCGAGGCAGGGCGTGAACCCATGGAGACAATCCCTAAGCTGCACGGGTGGGGGTACTCAAGGGTCCAGCTGATCCTGCCACCCCCAACAAACTTCGAGCCTCTGGAGGACCTGGACATAGATGGCTGCAGGAGCCGCCGCCCAGCTTTCCGGTCCTTGCAGCCGCTGCGTACACACACATAGCCAAGCGTGTGTGTGCATATACACATGTCCCCACCCCGAGGCTCACCAGGGGGGTCTGCACCACCACGGCTGGGAGCTGTCTCCAGGCTCCTGGAGCTGCGCTGCCTAGGGCCAGGAGAACCCTGGGAAGCTCTGCATGGAGACTCTCCAGTTGTTGAGCAATGAAACCCCCTCCCCATCATCACGCATCCAAATGTGTGGCCCAGGAGGCACAGGTGTGGTGGGCCCTGAGGTTTGGAAGGGTCAAAGACCTAGGCAGGTGGGGGCGCGGCTGAAGAAGCTGCAGGTGTGAGAAGGAGCCAGGAGCAGGTCCGCTTCCTCAGAAAGCAAGGGCTCATCTGAATGAAGTGGCAGGAATGCTACAGTGTGTGCAAGGCAGTATAACCAAGTAGACACTGGAGCTGCCTCTTGAGAGGGGGAGGCTGATGGGCTGCCAGCCCCCAAGCGTGGCTTCCTTGGTGGGTAGACTCTCAGACCAACTGCATCCCTTCCTTTAAAAAATATATACACACACATATATATATTTAATAAAACAGCAAGATGGGGAGACGCTGGTACATGTATCTGCCGTCTCACTACCCAATGGCTCCAATGGTTAGGGCTAGGTGAGTCTGAGGCCAGGAACCAGGTGCTTCTTCTGGGTCTCCCACATGGGTGGCAGTGGCCTAAGCACTTGGACCATCATCTACTGCCTTCCCAGACTCCTTGGCAGGGAACTGGGTTGGAAGCCAGCCAAGCAGCGGACGCTTGAACTGGCACACGGATAATAGGATGCTTACATTGTCGTGACTCAGCCTGCGGTACTGCAAGGCTTGCTCCCAGATCTCCTTACGAACTTGCTTCCAGGGTCCCTGGAGTAGGTGGAGAGAAGGTTAGGGTTAGGAGTGACCGGTGTGAGCCCCAGCACCGGCCCTGAGACAGGCCTGGGTTCACATGCCAGCTCTGCCCCTTGAGGCTGAGCCTGAGCCCTGCCCCTGAGGAAAGGAGTGACCACAGGCCCTACTGGTCCAGCAGCAAGGATGCAGAGAGCTGGCACCTGCAGGGCCGCTCAGGGTCACTGCCCTGTGGCCCAGACCCTGGGAACGGTTGGGGGCATGAGAATTACCGTTCAGGCTGAGCTCGGGGGTGGGGCCGGCCATGACCCAGGCCCCTGCTTCTTCCTGGCAGATGAAGTGCGTCCTGGTGGCCACTGAGGGCGCCGAGGTCCTCTTCTACTGGACAGACAAGGAGTTTGAAGAGAGTCTCCGGCTGAAGTTCAAGCAGTCAGAGAATGAGGAAGAAGAGGTGAGTGTGGCGCAGGCAGCCCCAGGGAGGGGAGTGGTGGGGGGGAAGGGGGACAGCGACACTACTGCCCTAGGGCTTGCCAGGCTGGCCGAGGGAGAGGGGAGGCAGAGCTCAAATCCCATGACAGTTGTTCACCTACAAAGCTTAGCATAAACTTAACACATTCGTCTTTACTTAGAGTAATTTGATATGCATACAGACCTATGATTCTTTGAAAGACAGAGTTAACTGAGACAGGGAGTCCTGAGAGAAAGAGCCAGGCGCTCTCTCCGAGTATCCCCAGTGGTGGCAGGGACTTAAGCACTTGAGCCATCCTGCGCTGCTTGCTGAGCAAGAAGCAGAGTAGCCAGGACCAACTGGGCCTCTGGAACGGCTTGCCTATATCCCAAGTGGAGGCCTAACCCACTGCACCACAGTGCCCACCCTAAAGCTGTGATTCAGTCAGTAAGATGTTTGTCATCCCTCCTTTCCTTGTCATTCTTGCCTTCCTCCTGCTAACTAGCCTATGATTCGGTCTTGATGGACCGGTCTGTTTTTATAGACCGTCTAAGTGGGATCACGCAGACCTAATGTGGTATAGTTTGGGGTTTGGCTCTGGCTGTTTTCATGCAGCGTAATTATCTGCAAGTCATGCATGTTGTAGCGTGTCAGCAGGTCGTTCCCCTTGCTTGCTGAGTGGTAGCGCGCTGCATCCGTTCCTCAGGATGTGTCTGTTCACTTGCCTGCTGCTGGACATTTCCCAGGTCCCCCTGTTACAGATAAAGCATTCGCTCCCGCTGACGCGCAAGGCTTTGTGATGGCACGTGCTTCCATTCTCGCCTGGGAAGGACCGGCTGGCCCCTGGCCGCACCTGCTGCACTCTCTGAGAAGCCGCTGGCCTTTTCCAAATGGCTCTGTCGTGTCACATTCCGTCGGGAGTGTGAGCGTTGCAGTCCCTCCGTGTCTTCACTGACACTTGGCTCTGCTCATTTCAGCCACTCTAGCAAATGCCTACTGGGCTTTCATTTGGTTTTAATTTTCCTTTCCTTAGACTACTGGTGTTGAAGATCTTTCCATGTGCCTTTTTTTTTTTGGTCCATTTTTAACATTATTCTGAATTTTGAGAATTTCTCATCAAGTTTGGATACTAACCTTTTATTAGATACCCATTTTGCAAGCATTTTTGTTCTAGTTCATGGCTTGTTTTTTCGTTCTGTTAAGAATGTCTTTGGCAGATCAGACGTCTGTCGCTTCGGTTGCCCCAGCGCATCCAGTGTTTGCCCAGTGGACACTGGTGACCATCGCCTCGCCTGAGGTCACAGAGCTCCCCCTGTATTTCCTCTGCAGGGTTTAGAGTTTGGGTTTTGTATTTGGCCCAGAGAGATACAATTGGAATTTTTTGAGCATGTTGTAAGTAACGGATTAAAGTTCATTGTGTTGCATATAGACATCCAATTTTAACACTTTAATATAGTTTACAAATAGTTATCATCTGTAGTTTTGGTTTTTTAAGATTTGTTTGTTTGTTTGTTTGAAAGAGTGAAATGAAAGGAGAGAGAGAGAGAGATCTTCCAATTGCTGGTTCATTCCCCAGATGACCACAACAGCCCAGGCTGGGCCAGCCTGAAGTCAGAACCAGGAGTTTCTTCTGAGCCTTGCACCTTCTTCTGAGTACAGGGCCCCAAGCACTGGAGCCATCCTCTGCTGCTTTTCCAGGCACGTTAGCAGGGAGCTGGATCAGAAGTGAAGTAGCCAGGACTCAACCAATGCTGCTATGCGATGCTGGCTGGCTTTGCAGGCAGGAGTGTTACCCACTACACCACAACACAGTCTCTCTCATAGGTACTTATGTGATGTCCATTCTACATTTTAAGAAATTAATTTATTTAAATTTTTTTCCAGTTAAATTTTGAGTAAAATTAAAAACTAAGAATATTTTCTTAGAGATGCAGTGGGAAGAGCCCTTTCATTTCTCGTTCCTGCAACAGCGTGGGCTGTTTGCTCTCCGTGCCCTTGCTGGCTCTGTGGGCCAGTCGTCAGTGGGCCTGCTGCACCTTCGTGGGCCAGTGCCCGGCGTCCTCCCTGACGGCCTTGTCCCATCAGACAGCAGAGATCTTAGACATTTGGGTGGGTTTATGTCAGCTAAAAAGCAGGTTTATTTGTTCAGCGCTTTTTTTTTTTTGCAGTAAATGCACATTTTAAATTAAGAATTTTGAAATATTTTGTTTCTACAACTATTGCCTCAACCAGATCAACTTAAAAAGCAGACTGTGTGGCACCCTTCTCTTTCTCTTTATTAAAAATCAGATTAAAAGAACAAAGCCCTGACTTACCAGTTCCTGAATGAATAACAAACTGGGGAAAGTCTTCAAAGTTTTTTTTTAAGATTTATTTTTATTATTGGAAAGTCAGATACATAGAAAGGAGGAGAGACAGAGAGAAAGATCTTCTGTCCACTGATTCACTCCCCAAGTGCCCGCAACAGCTGGAGCTGAGCCAATCCGAAGCCAAGAGCCAGGAGCCCCCTCTGGGTCTCTCACCTGGGTGCAGGGTCCCAAGGCCTTGGACCATCCTCGACTGCTTTCCCAGGCCACAAGCAGAGATGGATGGGAAGTGGGGCCACCAGGACACAAACTGATGCCTATATGGGATCCTGGCACAGGCAAGGCAAGGACTTTAGCCACTAGGCCCTCAAAGTTTTATTCTTTATGTTTGCAGCACTTACTTTTTTTCTGATCATAAAAATAACATAGACTAATTGTGGGAAATTCAGAATTGCAAAGAATTATTTTTTAAATGGCCCATAACTCTACTACCAAGAGCCGTTAGTTCTTTAATAACTTGCCTGGGCTCTTTATCTTTTATATAGTTGGTATCATCCCAAGTTAGAGTTTTATTTCCTGGTTCTTTTGGTTTTTTACTTGCCATTATATCAAAATCCTTCTTCTACTTCTGTTGAATATTCTCAAAGGCAAAATTCCAGTGCAAGTACTATGTTCCAGCAGATGAATAAATGTGTCCTCGTTTGTTCCCGTAGTCCTGGATATATACTCGTGTGTGACTTCTAGTTGACTGTCTCTGTTGCTGGGAAATCTGTACCTGAATTTTATGCCACATTTAATTATTTCCTCAAGGTTAGTTTCTAAAAAATGGAAAGATCCCACCAAAAGGCGCTCAAAGAAACTGTATCACTTTATAATCCCACCAAATAAAGTGTGGGAGTGCGCCTGTATGCATTACCATATGCCATAAATCATAATCTCCCATAAACGCCTGCCTCACTTGCCAGAAAAGTCCCTATTTTTAAGCTGAGTAGCTGTACACAATCGGGACTTTTAAGTAATTTTCTGTTAATAAAATTTGCTGATGACCATTAAAGAAATCTGTAGCACGGGAGGAATTTAGCAAGTATTGGTTCTTTGTGAGGGGCTAGTCATTCAGGAAGCATTGAGAAGCTCCTATGTGTCGGCGGGCAGCAGCACGCTTCCTGCCCTGTAGTGCGGCGATGGACCGGGGCCCAGGTGGCAGAGAGACACTGTGCCTTCAGTGATGATGGACAGATGATGGGTGGCAGCACTGTGTGAGCCGAGCATTGTCAGGAGAGGAGCAGCTGAGCTGGGACAGGAATGCTGGAAAGGGTCCCCAGGGAAAGCTTGGCAGGGCAGCCTGGAGTGCGCACGTGGCCCGTGGTTACAAACACTGAGGATGCTGGCAGGGTACAGACAGGTGCCGCGGCGCCGTAGTCCACTCCTGTTTTAAAAGCTGCACGTTATCGCTGGGCCGTTGCCTGCTCTTTTCAAGGCAGGGTCTTACTCAGCTCCTTGTGGATTCGGAGCGCCAAGGTAAGCCTCGGCTCCTCCCGACTCCAGTCCAGGGCAGCACAGTTGTTCTCTCCTTTCATCCCGACATTGAGAATCGCAGCAGTTGCAGCCGTTCTGCTGGCTGCCTCCCACTTATATTCATAGATTCTCAGCTCGCTGGTCCAGTTCCTTTTCGGTTTTGTTGACTTGCTTTGTTCCTTCCATGGAAGGGCAGCAAGAATGAACGAGAAGAGCTTATCAGAGAGAAGGCCTGCTTGCTGTGGAAGACGGGGAAAGACACAAGCAGGCAGGGCGGGGAGGCCAGCCACTGGCAGAAGTAACTGCCTCAGTATTGTTCCAGTGCCTTGCTGCTTCTGTGCTTTTGTAAATATCAAACACCCAAACCTCTTTTTTTTAATCTGATATTGTGTGAGAGGAATTGAACAAACCATGGCAATGTTCGTATTTTAAGTTTTGAACCCTTTCATGGTTTACATGCACAATTATTTATCAAATTACTTCTCTGATGCTGGGTGAGTCCGTTTTACTTGAGTTGTTTGCAATTGCAAATTATGCTGTATGAGCCTCTTTGTACATGCAGCTTTGTCCTGCTCCCTAGGGCAAATTCCTGGCTGCTATGTACATGGGACTTCCTGAGTTAGCCAGTTCTCCATTAGTCACCACACACATCCACCTGTGGCCAAGTGGCCCAGCTCCAGAATGACCAGGTGGTTTCGCCTGGCCTTCCTAACCACCCCACCCAAGGTGCTAGGCCATTTGTCCTTGCCACGCTCCCTGGCAGGTTGCAGACTGCCCCCCGAGGGGCGGCCTGGTCTTGCCTGCCAGGGCCTCTCTCCGCCGTGTCTGGCACTAAGTGCTGGTCCTCTCCCCATGGCTGCAGCTCCCCGCACTGGAGGACCAGCTCAGCATGCTGCTGGCCCCTGTCATCATCTCCTCCATGACGATGCTAGAGAAGCTCTCGGACACCTACACCTGCTTCTCAACGCAGAATGGCGACCACCTGTATGTCCTTCACCTGGTGAGCACGCGGCCCTGGGCCCACAGTCCTCTTCTTGGCAACATGCGCAGTCCACCTGCCATGCCTCATCTTGAACTTGCGAGTCCTTTGGAACCTTTGCCTCCCCTGAGCGTGGGGCTGGGGGTGGGGAGGGGCTGGCTGACATGGCCCGGCTGTGCCCACAGTTTGGTGAATGCCTGTTCATCGCCATCAATGGAGACCACACAGAGAGTGAGGACGACCTGCGGCGCAAGCTATGCGTGCTCAAATACCTGTTCGAGGTACACTTCGGGCTGGTCACCGTGGACAGCCAGCTCATCCGGAAGGAGTGAGTCCCCAGAGCTGGTCCCGCCCTGTCCTGGGATGGGCACCTGCTGTTCCCTTCTCTGCCACTGACCATGCCCTGTGTCAGAGCAGCAGCGCTCCGCGGACCCCGGGAGACCATCTGGTCTGACCCTTTCATTTCATATGGAGAAACTGAGGACGAACAGCATTAGTTCCCTGCTGCGGGCAGTCTAGCTGGCAGCTCTGTGCAGCCTAGCGGGTTGGATTCAGAATTCCCGTCCCAGGCTCTGTCCACTCCCCAACATCAGTCATCTGCTGCCAGGAACCCCATCTGTGCCAAGGCTCCCTGGCTGCTCAGAGCTTGTACATCCTCCCTCTCACCCCTGGGCACTCCTGCAGCCTGTGACCCTTCTCCTGGGATTGAGGGGTGCCGACCCGAGTCCATCCCCACGCCTGCAGGGAAGGACCTGGCAGAAGAGAACCGTGATATAAAGCCTGTGCAAGGTGGGTGGGGCCCAGGAAAGGCGCTTGGTGGAGATGGGGAGTGCAGAGAGCGAGGTTCGTACAGTCACTCCCTGATCACCAACAGGAGTGGAGAAGTTACAGAGTTCAAACCTTTTGTCTGCTTAGTGTGGAGGTGACATAAGTGTGTGCTGAGCAGGGAAGCAGTGGGAGTGAGTGCTGATGAACAAGGGGCCACTGCTGAGCTGGGAGGTGAGGAGAGAGGTCAGAGGGAGGGTCCATGCTGAGTGGGGGGGAGGTGAAGAGCAGGGGGGAGGTGAGGAACAAGGTCAGAGGGAGAGCCTTTGCAGAGCAGGGGGAGATGAGGAGTGAGGTCGGAGGGGGGGGCCCATGCTGAGCAGGGAGGTGAGTTGGGAGAGTGCCATGCTGAGATACCTGCCAGTTAAGTTAGCAAAGGCTGAGCTGGTAGTGGTCCTCTCCCAGGAAGGGGCTGGTGTGCCTATGACACACACGGTGTTTGTGGTACCGTCTGCCCGCTTAAAGCGGCCTGACCCTGGATGTCATGCAGAGAGCAGAGCCCAGGGGTCTGTTTGCAGAGCCATGGTGGCTGAGATGTGTAAGGAAGTGGACTCCACCCTGGCTCTCTCTAGCTGGCTCTGTGTGATGGATCCATGTGGAGAGGCCCAGGAAGGCCTGACTCCCGGATCCCCACCCGCCACTCCTTGAGGGGCAGCTGGCTGGCCCCGGGGTACGGGGGGCAGTGCGTGGCCATCCAGGCACACTCACCCAGGGCTGAGCTCCTTGGGTCAGGGCTGGGGAGGATAACCAGCTTTCGGCTCTGCCCCTAGACTGCGGCCCCCGGACCTGGAGCAGCGAGTGCAGGTGTGGAAGCATTTCCAAAGTCTGCTGTGGACCTACGGCCGCCTGCGGGAGCAGGAGCAATGCTTTGCTGTGGAGGTGACTACGGGGCACGGGAGGGGGCATCCCGGTTGGAGACCTGGTGACAAGGACATTGCGGCCCCTAGCTGACAGGTGTTCTCTCTGGCTCCGGGTTGGGCCCGATTATCAGGTGTGCCTTCCTGTGTGAAGGCTGCTAGATCCCGGATGCAGCTTGCTCCTTGTGGCAGTTAACAGAGCTCTCCAGAGATAGCCTGGCACCCCGGCCCCTCTCCCCAAAAGAGGAGGTTGAGCTGAAGCTAGAGTGGGGCATGATAAAAACAAGCCAGTCAAAATCAGCACCAGAGGCAGGCCTGCCCTGCCTTCACATGGTACCGACGGTGCCACCAGACAGCAGCCCCAGGCAGTACCGGCCTGGGCGAGCTGAGCCCTCAGTCCCCGCTGAGCCCTGAGCCTGAGCAGTCGCAGCAGCTGTGGTCAGCTGTGGGCAGCTGGCTCACTGTAGACAGACCCCACTTCTCCCCAGAACAGTGTGCCTGCACTCCAGTGTTCTTCAAGCACACCTGCCGGGGGCGGGGGTCTATTGCTGGGCCTTGTCCTTGGAGGACCTCATCCGCTGGGTCTAGGATGTGGGCGCTCGAGTTCCCTGCTCTGATGCTGTTTGTGCTGCCGCAGGAACCACACCTTGAAAACCACTGCAGATTAACATTAGACAGAAATGGGTTCCCACTTAAAGAAAGTCAGGAGAACAGGAAGATGCGTGGGAGTCAGGAGAGGTCGAAGGGTTGGCCCAGTGAGCTTGAAAGACTGGAATTATTAGGGGCAAAATATGAAACAGCTATGAAATAGTTCATATGTCAGAGTCACAAAATGAACAAATAATAGGAGATTTGAAATGACTAGACCAGTTTGACTAAGATCCACCCCCCACCCCCCATATAACTCCATTTGGCCATTTCAGATGTGAAAATGTGAATAAACAGGAAAATAGATCTAAAGAAATTCATTCTCACGCCCCCACTCACTGGTGGTTCTTTAGAGCGTTCTGAGCCCCTCCCCCCGACCTCGCTCCTCACCTCCCCCTGCTCTGCAAAGGCTGGCTCACTCAGCCGTAGGAGTGCATGCTCGAGGTGTCAGCATCTCGGTGCCACCAGCGGCGTGGAGGTTGTCACTGTCGACTCTGTGGGGCAAGGCTTCCTCTAGGAGGTGAGCTGCTGCAGTCAGGATGAGATTCCCCCTTGTTCCCGTGTGATCTGTTGCCGTTCTCCCCCTCCTCCCCCACCTCTCCTGTCCTCGCTTGCTGTGCCCTGGCCCTACATGGGACTTCTTTCAGCTTCAAGAATACTCCACGTTAACTAGCTCATGTGGTAGCTGTTGGCTGCATGTGGCTGTCGAACACTCAAAATGTCCCTGGTCAACACTGAATGGCATTGTGCACGTAGAATTATATGCCAATTTGGATGACATAAGTGCGAAAAAAAAAAAAAGAAAAGAAAGAAAATGAAGCATCCATTATTCATGTGTTTGTACTGTATGTTGCTGTCTGTTTGGATATAGTGGGTAGAGCACGATGTTAGGATTAGTTTCACTTATTTGGTTTGAGGAGGTCTTAAATTATGTGTAGCATTTTCCTTGTGTTTGGTTGGACAGCCGTGCCCCAAGCTCTGCCCAACCTCAGGTGTGTGCTGTCGCCTCCACTTGCAGTGTCTGCCCCTGCCTGTCTCTGACAGGCTTTCCCCTCCTCAGGGACATTTCTGTGAACACCCCACAAGTTTCCCCAGCTCCGTGCTGTGTGTTTCCTCCTTAGACTGACTTACTTGCCCATTGTAGCTTCATGCCCCTGCGTGCAGTGAGTAGTTGTAAGGCCGGGGAAGGCTGAGGCCGTGGCTGGGCCAGTCTCCCTCTCCGCAGGTGTCTGGGGCCAGATCAGAGCCCAGGGCAGCATGATGCAGACTGGGGCTGGCAGGCAGGCGGGCAGGTGGAATGGCAAGCTGTTGATGTGGCCTCCTCTCTGCCCCCATCAGGGCGGTGTGAGCGCATGCAGCCTGGGACCTGCAGGTGGCCTGGCAGGCAGGTGACACGGCCTCTCCCCACTGACCCCACCAGGCTGTGGAGCGGCTGATTCACCCTCAGCTCTGTGAGCTGTGCATTGAGGCGCTGGAGCGGCACTGCGTCCAGGCCGTCAACAGCAGCCCCGAGCGGGCCGGTGAGGAAGCCCTGCATGCCTTCCTGCTTGTGCACTCCAAGCTGCTGGCCTTCTACTCCAGGTGAGCCCGGGTGTGCGTGCCGAGGGGGGAGCCCTGCCCTCCCGCGCTCAGCCTGTCTTTGTTTAGTTGTCTTAAAGATGAATTTTACTTATTTGAAAAACAGAGTTACAGAACTAGAGAGAGAGAGAGAGATCTTCCGTCCTCTGATTCACTCCCCAAATGGCCTCAATGGCAGGGACTGGGCTGGGCAAAGCCAGGAGACAGGAGCTTCTTCTGGCTCTTGGATTCAGGGGCTCCAGCCCTTGGGTCATCCTCCGTTGCTTTCCCAGATGCATTAGCAGGGAACTAAATCAGAAATAGAACAGGCAGGACTTGAACTGGTGCCTGCATAGGATGCCAGCCTAGCAGATATTGGCTTTCCTTGCTTTGCCGCCACACCAACCCATTACCCTTTCTTGTTCCCTCTGCCTGTAGAGCAAAGAAAATCTTAAAGACCCATCTCCTCTTCCACGAAGCCCTACCAGTTGAGCCTCTCTCAGCTCACCCGCTTTTCTGGATTGTTTCCTCCCTCCAGGCTGTGCTGAGCCCTGTCATCCCTGATGCTTATCCCTGCTGCTTCCCTCCGCCATCCTTCCCTCTCTCCCTACCAACAGCAGCTATACACGCTGCAGACTCCTGTGCTCTGCCTGCCACCTGCACGGACGCTCCCTCCTCTCCCCTCCAGTCCCCAGTAAGCACTGACGGGCAGCTTCTTCTCCTGTCCCCACAGCCACGGTGCCAGCTCCCTGCGCCCGGCCGACCTGCTTGCCCTCATCCTCCTGGTTCAGGACCTGTACCCGAGCGAGAGCACAGCGGAGGATGACAGTGACACTCAGGTCTCGGGGCAGCTGTGTGCATGGTGGGCAGCCAGCGGGGAGATGGCCCAGCAGAGCTGCCACCGGCATGGTGGGCAGGCCCCCCTGAGGAGGCCATGTGGTCTCCAGGTCGCAGCTCTGGGCCTGCGGCTAACCATTGCTGTTTGTTGCCCCTTTCAAATGGTGGAGAATCATGTTGGCCCCTGAGTTACAGGTGCAGAGTTTGGAATGGGGCCTGGTTTGAAACCTGGCCTCTCTGCTTGGCTGTGTGAGCCGGGCAAGGGCTTTGCCCCTCTGAGCCTCGATTCCCCGGGTCAAACTGTGGGGATGGCATTGCCATCACCTCTCAGGGTTGTCGTGAGGGATGGAGGTAACAGTCCACATAGAGCCAGCCGTGCTTGGGCACAGGGAACTCTCGGGGGGTGCTGGCCACTGTCATCATGGGGTGGAGGGTTAGAATTCCTGGAGTTTCAGAGGGTTCTGGAGAAAGACTGGACCCCCTGAGACTGTAACAACCACAGGGAGTGTGGCCCGTGTACTCAGGGCATGCCTGTGCAGAGCTGTGAGGCGGAAGACCAATGCAGGGGAACCAGGGCAGAATTGTGCTAACCTGTGTCTCCTGGACCCCTACAGCCTTCCCCACGGAGACCCCAGAGCAGCCAAACCCTCCCCGTGCAGCAGGCCTGGCGCCCTTTCCCTGCAGGCACACGCGGGAACAGTTCCGTGGAAACAGAGGTGTGTTCAGTACGTGGCATGGTGCAGAGAGGGCCTGCTTCGCCTCCTGGCCCGACCTGTGGCACCTCCCCGGGGAGAGCAGGGCCTGGAGTGGCCACACTGAGCTGTCCCCTCTCCCTCCCAGGACACAGACAGCCTTTCCCTCCTAGAGGAGTACTTCACGCCGGCTCCATCCCCCGGGGAACAGAGCTCAGGTGTGTCCAGGTGGGGGCGGGGAGGAAGTGGCAGCGGCACCAGCCAGTGGGCAGCCCTGGAGATCTGTCTTAGAGTTCAGGGCACCCCCACACCCAGTCAGTTGGGAGCTATGCTCAAGCTTAGCTCCTTCAGCTTCCTAGAGTGCCCCTCCCCCCTTTCCTTTCCCCACGCCCACTTCCCTGCCAGCCCCAGCTTGCACCCAAGGGTGGCCAACGCTACTCCTTTAAAGCTTTCAATGACAAGTTGATCTCATTTAGACTTTTCGTGTCTACCTGTGCCTTAGCCTCATCATTCTTCCTTAAAGTTAACAAGTAAAATTCAGCAGCGATCATTGCATTTTAAGTGCATTTTAAGCTATGAATGAATATTCGGTCTATTTTTTTTTTTACCTTTTTTTCCTTAAAGTATGTAGGTAAACAGTAAAAATGAGAAGCCATGAATAATCAAAAAGTATTATGACAGAAAGACGACCTAGCTCAGAGGCACAGGCAAGCAGAAAGCCAACTGCCTGGGTCACCGTGCCCTGGCACAGGTCTGCCTGGGCTTCATCATCCGAGGGCAGAGCAGGGTGGGCTGAGCCGAAAGGAGGTTGTGTGGAAAGCCGCTGGGCTAGAGGTCGCTCACTTTGGGTCCTGGGATGTGTGGGTTTTTTTTTTTTTTTTTTTCTGTGGGAAAGGCCCTTAGCACTATTTCCTAAGTGCTCCAAGAGACCAAGAGAATCAGCCCCGCTTTTGGCACTCCTTGCCCTCATTCATCATGCGCCTCCTGTCTCCAGACCTCAGGGCTGTGAATAATGCCGCTCCCCTGTGCCCACAACACACCGCTTACAAATGGCTCCAGTCACACTCGTCTGTTTGTAACTCAGATGTTGAGCACGGGCGTGTGTTCCCCCCAGAGAAGTGTGGTTATAAATGAGGGCCATTTACAATGAGATCTAAGAGAGAACAGTATTATTACAAACATGTGATATTTCAAAACATGCAGTGGGTTCCTTGTGGGGTTTTGTATGCTAGATTAGGAAGGAAATGCAGCACCATTCCCAGCAGGTAGTAGGGCCTCAGAACTAGCTTGTCGAGTGAATACACAGTGTATTCACTCAACAATACACAGACCTCTGGAGAGGGCAGAGTTAGGAGGCCCCTGTCCCTCCCCCAGTCCCCCAGCTGCCAGCCGCACCCCCAGGATCTCTGCTCTGGCAGCTGTCTCTGGGTGAGGCCTCTGTGTTCCCCGGGTGCTTGCTGACATGGAGAGGATGAGAAGCAGTGAGTGGCCACAGCCACACTGAAGCCCCTGTCCCTACCTGTGGATGGCAAGAATGCTAAGGCTGTGGGGCTGCGAGTGTCCCGTACCCCAGCCCAGGCTGCTACTGCATCCCTGTCTGCGCTCCCAGGCTGAACACTTCACTCTGTTCTTACTTTGGCTTCCAGGGAGCACTGTCTGGCTGGAGGGGGGCACCCCACCCACCGATGCTCCACAGGTGAGTCCACCCTGGCTCTGCCCAGTCACCTGCTGATCCTGCGTGCTACAGTGGGCACAGGGTGTTCCAAGGCCTCTCTCCAGGATGACTGCCTGGCACCAACCTTCCTCGTGCCCACATCAGGGCTCATCCGCCATGACTGGTCCCTAATGCCAGAGGGCAGCCCTGGCTGGAGGGATGCCTGTGTCCCCTCCTGCTCGTGTGTCTGCCTGCAGGCACTGGGCCTCAGCCTCCGCCAACTCTCCACTCTCCCCGCTGTGCATTCACCTTCATGTTAGCTTCTTAAAAAAATGTATACATTAAGTCACTCCGGTAAAATTTTGGAATATAAAAGTAAAGGTTTCTGCCCTGCCTCCCGTCGCTCTGCACACACAGGCTGCAGGTGCACATGTACGCCTGTCTGTGTTCTCCGTCGAGCTTGAGCTCTGGAGCATTTGACACTGCTGCTTTAGATCCCCTGCAGCGGCATCAGGGTGCAGGGAGCGCTCCTGGAGAGCTCACCCTTGCACATGTGGCTGTTTATTTAGCAAGTGCCTGGGATCAGCAGGCCATTGTGTCCAGTTGTCTACAACATTGGAGTCATCCTACTGAGAAATCTCTGTGGCATTTTCAAGAAGTTTCAATAAGTTCCTCAGCTCTCTGATGGCTCCCACTAAGGTCCTTTTGACTCAAGGCTTTGCTCATTTGCTCATTTTCTGCCTCAGTTTCCCCAGTCTGTCAGGTGTTGTGAAAGTGGCTGGTGGAGGAAAGGTAGAGTGCCTTCTTCCTGCATTCACCAATGGCCTTCACCTTCTGTCCCCTCCCGTCCCCTCCTGTCCCCAGCCTCTGTGGCCCTTCTCCACAGCAGCAGAACTGGAACTGCAATGACAGGGTGTGGGGGTTCGGAACAGGCCTTTGCTGGTGCTCATGGCTGACAGCAGTGCGGTGGGGGAGGCCAGCTGGTTCCCGCATCCTTTCTCACCCCTTCCTGCCCATGTGTCTTGCTTCACAGATAGCTGAGGACACCCTTGAGACACTGGTTCCTCCTTCCCCAACACCCTCAGGCCCCAGAAGAATCTTCCTAGATGCCAACGTGAAAGACAACTACTGCCCCTTGGTGCCCCATACCATGTACTGCCTGCCCCTGTGGCCCGGTGTCAACATGGTGCTCTTGACCAAGGTACCAAGGCCCCGAGGCCAACTGGCGATGCACAGGTCCTGGTGGCTGCTCTACCACCAGCCACCCCCTTTGCTGTCCTGCCCTCTGCTTGTCCCACAGAGCCCCAGCACACCTCTGGCCCTGGTGCTGTACCAGCTGCTGGACGGCTTTTCCCTGCTGGAGAAGAAGCTGAAGGAGGGCCAGGAGGCCGGCAGTGCACTGCGGTCCCAGCCGCTCATGGGAGAGCTACGTCAGAGAATGGACAAGTTTGTCAAGAGTCGAAGTGGACAGGAGATGCAGGTGAGGTGGGGCCTGGGTGCAGCTGCCCTCCTGGGAGAAGCACAGTGCAGCTGCCCCTGCATGGGCTCAGGAGCCAGTGTGAGCTGTGAAGGCTGCTATAGGACAAGGAAACTGAGGTGACTTGGCCAGTGTCACACAGTTGATGGCAAAGCCAGAGCCTGAGTGTCATAGGTTTGGGGTCTGTCCCTCCATGTGTCCAGGCTGCTGGGTGTCCCCATTGCCACCCCTGAGGGATCTGGCGAAAAGCTAAGGCCGGAGGTATAGCCCGCGTGTCAGCCCAGGGCCGCAGCCAGGCTGGACAGGGACCTCGGGAAGAGGAGCTGCTGAGTCCGTGCAGCTGGGGCTGTTTGGGGAAAGGGGACGCCCTGTGGCAGGTTGGCCCAAAAGTGAGCAAAATAGGAGGAAACAGCAAATGCTGGAAGCCTCAGACTTCATTTCCTTGGCGCCAGCAGGTGGTGCAACACTCACGGGGCATTGGACATCGTAACAGGCATGTGGGATAGATGGCACTCTCTCTTAGTGAGGTCCAACTCACCCCCCATGAGCCCCTCGCTGGCCCCTGTCCCTGAGGACCTCTTCCTTCCAGACCACCTGCAGCCACTGCCTGTTCTGTGTGTTCCCTCACTTTGCCAACCCCAGGCGTCCATGCACTTGACCCAGGAAGATCACTCTGTAGACATCACCCACTGAGGGAGGGGAATGTGGGGTACACGGTACAGGTGGGACCTGCTGGAGGAGCCAGCTTTGGCCAGAGGTCTGGGGCCTTCTCAAGGCCCTGTGGGGAAGGTGTCCTCCTGGACGTCATGGAGAAACATGGTCAGAAGCTACCTCACCCCCATCCTCCTCACAGAGCACCTGGTTGGAGTTCAAGACCAAGGCCTTCTCCAGAACTGAGCCAGCAACATCATGGGAGTAAGTCGTGGGCTCTGAGGGTAAGAGCACAGTCATTTGGCAGGGCATCATTTCCCAGAGACCACCGTGTCCTTCAAGGCCAAGAGCAGAGAGAGTTCAGGGAGCAGCATCCAAGTGGAAGGGTCCTGAGGAAGCTGAGTCCAGCCCACAGTGAGTCTGGAACGGCCCCCAGTGGTGGACCAGGGCCTGGCCTCCAGCCACTGCAGCTCCAGCACCAGGCTAGTTCCGGTTCCCCCACACCCGAAATAAGCAAAGTGATGAGGCTGGACAAGGTGCCACATGGCAAGGAAAGCCCAGCAGGTGGATGTGGAGTCCCAGTAGGAAAGGTCTAGGGAGCCACCCCTGTCTCACGGAGGCCCACACAGTGCCCACCTGAGTCTGTTTGAGCAGGGGTGCCCCCCAGGGCTGAGTACCTTCTAGGCCTTTCTCACCATAATGCCCTCGCCCCCGGTGCCCAGGCTGCTCCAGGCATGCGGGAAGGTGAAGCGACAGCTGTGTACCATCTACCGCCTCAGCTTCCTGAACACAGCACCAGACAGGGGTGGCCCCCAGCTGCCGCAGCACTTGCAGGACCAGGCCCAGAAGCTCCTACAGTAAGTGTGGCATGGGGCCTGCACTATTGAGTAGGCCTGGAGCCTTATCCCACACAGCCTAGCAGGGCGGTCACAGGCCTAGGGACCTGTCCCACACAGCTTAGTGGGGCGGTCCCTGGCCTGGGGACCTGTCCCACATAGCCGAGCGGGGGTGGTTACAGACCTGGGGGCCTGCACAGCCAAGCAGGGCGGTCACAGGCCTGGAGGCTTGTCCCACATAGCCGAGCGGGGGTGGTTACAGACCTGGGGGCCTGCACAGCCAAGCAGGGCGGTCCCAGGCCTGGAGGCTTGTCCCACAGAGGCACTTCCTTGGCAGGGAGAAGCTGAGCGACTGGAAGGACTTTCTGCTGGTGAAAAGCAGGAGAAACGTCACCATGGTGTCATATCCTAATGCCTGAGCATCCTCGCACCTGCCTGTCCCCTGTGCCAGCTCCTGGACAGAGCTGCAGGCTCCTGGGCTAGGGAGCCCCCTCCTACATAGCTGCTTCATAATCACAGAAATGCAGGATGCAGTGTCCTGGCACCCCACCTTAGGGTATCTCTCCAAGTCCAAAATTACAAATATCCCCACTGCCCCAAAGTTAATTCAGCAGTTCTTCATGCCAGCATTGTCCAGTGAGTTCCAGTGAGGGCCAAGGAGACCTGTCCAGTGACAAGTCTTCTGTGGGGGTAAGAAGGGAGACTGCTGCAGTCCCCTTGGTGCTGGAAGGCCATGTCCTCCTTGGATTGTCACCGAGGAGACCCGCAGTGGGCACTTGTCCCTGCTCGAAAAGCCATTTCTAAGTCGCCTTGGCCCTTTCAGCATGAGGCGCTGATTAGCACTATGGGAAACAGATTTTCTGAGGGCTTCTATGTAAAGCAGTGTCTCCTCTCCTGAGATGGCTGTTGCATCAGGCGCCAGTCCCCGGAGGGGTTTCACTGGACCGGAGAGGGATGCCAGGGCCCTTGTGGGTCTGCCACCACGCTTCTGCGGGGTCTATTCTGCTCTTGAGTAGGAGCCTTCCCTCCCTCAAGGCAACCTGTGCAGACTGGCAAGACTGCAATGTTGTGTCCAGCACAGCTCTGCACTCCGTACAGCTGGCCCTGGCCCTCAGTGGGGGGACAAAGCCCAGACCTCCTCCAGGCTCACAAGCTCCCAGAAAGCAGGGGGCTGGAGCCACAGGCGGCCTTGCAGGGGCATCGTATGGCTGTGTGGGCAGCCCAGGACGGGCGGAGGCCACTCCCCGAGGTCCCAGGCTGTACATGGACCTTAACCCAGGCCCTCACCTACCTGGAAGACTTCCCAGGCTTGGTGCACTTCATCTACGTAGACCGCACCACTGGGCACATGGTGGCGCCGTCCCTCAGCAGCAGTGACAAGACGTCCTCAGAGCTGGGCAAGGGGCCCCTGGCTGCCTTCATCAAAACCAAGGTAACCACAAACCCCTCCCCAGGAAGAACAGGCCCCCTGGGGCTCTGCTCCCCTCCCCCTACCTTAACCTTAACCTTTGCCATGCCCTTCTCAGCATTGCCACGCCCTCATGGGCCTGCTCGGTCAGCTTCTTGACACAAGGGGTCCAATACTCACTGTGGGGCAGCACCTGTCAGTGCACCCTACTGTGTGTGGGCTGGCAGGGTGCCTAGGACACTGCAGGAAGTGCCTGGAGCCTGGTACACTGTTCACGAGTGTTTGTTGAATAACTAAAACAGTACAGAAGGCAGCCAACGCGGGCGTCAGAAATGGAAAACCACAAGGGGTCTTTGCTAAGGCCTCGCTCTCCGGGAGCTTTTTTACTTCCCGACAACTGACCCTTCTTCATGGATGCGAGGAAGAGGGGCCATCTCATCCGCTTTGTAAGCAAGACACGCACGGGGTTGCACGCTCAGGGAGAAGGGCGGCCAGCGGCCTGTGCGGCAGACCCTGCTCTCCTCCGCCCGGCTCTGGTCTCAGGTACTGGCCTGAGTGCAGGAGGGGACGGTGCGTTTTACTTCATGGCAACCCTGGGATGATTACGTGAGATGATGCATTAATGTTGGGTACAGCACGTGGCACCTGCTCAACTAGAATTTCTCAGGCACTTAATGGCACCAGCACCCCCTTGCTTTCCAGCCTTTTGCCTAGAGACGGGTTTATCTGGTAATTTTCCTTCCTTTGTTCTCGGCAGAGAATGAAAGCATTCTTGCTTTCATTTCACTTTGCACCAGGTGCATTTGTTCTTTAATTCTTTATAAGCATAATTTTTAGTTCCATGATCGTCTCTTGTGTGAATCTAACATCATTCACTTAGTCATCTGCCCGCTGTTTGAATGGCGAGACAGTTTCCAGGCTCCTACAGCTGGGAATGATTCCGCAGGACACACCTCCTCCATCCTCGCCTCAGGCCAGCTCCTTGATAGGGATTCCCGGAAATGGAGTCTTCAAGTCAGACGGGGGAATGTTTGCAGGGCTGACTGGCCCCAGAGCACGCTGGGCCCCGTGTGCATTTGCAGAACTCTGTCAGCAGCATGCTGTGACTGGACAGGGGGCCCTCCGTGCCCTGGGGGTGCAGAAATGGTGCCTTCCCTTGGGCACTCAGCAGGCAGCCTTGGTGACAGTCCCTGCATTAGCAGGAGAACTGGCCAGGGGGGACCGACAGGTCCTGTGTGTGCATCTCATCACCTGGTGAGCCCTCACCTGGACAGAGGGCATGTGTGGCCTGAACAGCGGCACACACCAACATGCTTCCCCACATCCCCCTGCTGTGGCATCCACAGCTGCAGTTTCCAGCCCCACAGGAGCCTGGATGAGCACCTGACCCCTGGCAGAGGAGGCTGGCCAACTGGCCACATCCTGACCTCCTTCTGTGTGTAAAGTTCTGCAAAGTGCTTCTACCCATGCTTTCTGGCACAGTAGCTGCAGGGATAGTCAGTCCATCCACCCCTCCAATGATGAGCCATCCCTCAGCTCCTGTTCGGAGCCAAGGACCCTCAGCTCACTGCTCCGCCTCCCCACAGAGCTCAGATGGGCGTCGAGGAAAGGCCATGGCCATGAGGGCAGTAATGAACGCGCTTCCTCCTCCCCCAGGTCTGGGCTCTGATCCGGCTGGCGCGCAGGTATCTGCAGAAGGGCTACACCACACTGCTGTTCCAGGAGGGGGACTTCTACTGCTCCTACTTCCTGTGGTTCGAGAATGACATGGTGGGTGTGGCCAGGTTCCCAGGGCAGGATGGCCCGAACCTCTCTCCATCCCTGTAACTCTCCCCTTTTTCTTCCCAATCGTGTTCTGCTGTCAGTCGCTTCAACTCTTCTTGCCCTGGTAGGACAGGTAAGCTCTGTGAGCAGGGACTAGAGCTAAAGTGCCATTCTCATGAGGGCATGTGGCATTGTGATCCCTCTCCCATCCAGCTGGTATGCTGTGCCATTGCCTGAGGGGCATCAGGTCAGCCTGTACTCAGATGGCCACACTGACCACACTGGCATTCCCAGCATGCCCCTGGATGATCTAAGGGTGGGAGCAGTTACCCAGCCCGCCCAGGGTGGCATGATGTGGGGCTCAGATCTCTTGCCTCCTGGGCTTGGGCTGCTTCCTCTGGACTTTACTGAGCTGCCATGCCAGCCCTGGAATGGGCAGCTATTTTCTATGATTGCTATCTCTCCCGTTCCTTTCCTTTCTCTAGATTCCCCCTGTCGCTGCAGTTGTTCCTTCTCTCTAGGGGTCATGCTTTCTATTTTTCACGGCCCTTGGTCTCTTGGGCCGCATACCCCCATCCCCTCCCACCACCTGCCACTGCTCTGGGTCCACTTGGTCACAGCAAGGAGAGTGCCTGCGTGTCAGGTGACACGCTCCTCACTGGCTCTGTAAGTAATTATTGTTGTCCCCACTTCACAGATGTGAGGTCTCGGTAACTGGAGGCCGCATGTTCTCTCCAGCCCCCAGCACAGAGTGATGCTGTGCCATCCCCTGCTCCCCTCACCCACTATCTCCCTTCCTCCTTCCTCAGGGGTACAAGCTGCAGATAATTGAGGTGCCCGTCCTCTCTGACGATGTGATCCCCATTGGCATGCTGGGAGGCAACTACTACAGGTGATGTCTTGCTAGAGGTACCCAGTGCTGGGTGCTGAGTGCCAGCTGCCCCCTGGGGGGGCATCCTGATTGGGGGCATGCCTGTCCTCAGCAGGCCTCCAGGAGGATGGATAGACCACGGCCTAAGCTGGGCCTTGGAGTTTGAATCAGTGAGGAGTCAGATCAGGCACCGTCAATCCAGGGCTGGAAGCCTCATGGGAATATCCAAGGGTGTGGGCATCCAAGGGTGGGCTCTCCCATGGCGATGGGTCGCCTGACTGCTGGCTCCTGAATACTTTTCTTCTACTGCCTGCACCCACAGGAAGCTGCTGCGCTACTACAGCAAGAACCACCCAGCCGAGGCCGTAAGGTGCTACGAGCTGCTGGCCCTGCACCTGTCAGTCATCCCCACGGACCTGCTGGTGCAGCAGGCCAGCCAGCTGGCCCGACGCCTGGGGGAATCCTCCCGTGTCCTCCTGCCCTAGTCCCACTCTATGCCGGTGGCACAGTCCACCTGTACACCTGCCAGCAGTCCACCTGTGCTTGCCAGTGTTCACCACAGCATGAACCTGTTCCTGGCCATGGTGGCATCTTGAGTGGAGGTCAAGGCCACAGGCTTCCTTGAACTCCACCTGGACCACCAGGAGGACCCTTCAGCCCTTCCCTCTGGAGGGAAGGTCAAGATGTGGGTTTTCAGTTATCGCCCTCTGAAAATAGTGGCTGTGGCCATGGGCCGTGAGGAGAATGGAGGGGAGTCCCCAGTGCGGAACCCCTCCATTTACACTGTTACCTGAGCAGAGGAAGCTGCTTCAAGTCCCAGGCACAGGGTTCTCGTTGGCAAGGCTCCAGTTCCAGCTGTGCCACCACCTCATTGAGCTCTGGGCAAATTTCTGAGGCTTTGCATCTGCTCCCCGACACTTAGAGGATTGTCAAGTGTTTGTTCAGTGCTTGATAAATGTTATTGTCACCAGTTACGTCCAGCATGCCGGTTTCCTGGGGCCCTCTGTGGCAGGGGAGGCCCTCACTGGATCCTGGTCCTTTCTGTCGGCCGTGCCAGCCTCTGTTTGACCTGGGGTTTTGGCTCTGAGCTCTAGGCCAGGGCCCAGGGATCCAGATTGACTTGGTGGGTGTGTTTCTAGATTCTGGGGGTTTCTAAATCTTCCCATGACGGATCCAAGCACAGGAGACCATCCGAGAACACTGGGAACAGCAGAGGCCGGTGCTGGCGTGAATAGAAGTGACCTTGCAGCAATAAGTGTCCCCGGCTGTGAAAGTGGTTGCCTTGTGTTGCACAAACACAAGACTCACACACAAGAGGGGTCTGTCTCTGGGGTGCTGAGGAGCTGGGATGGCAATGGGGAACAGTGTCTGGAGAGATACCTGGGGGGGAGTGTACATTTGTGTGGGGAAGTCAAAAAGGAATTCACTGGTGGTAGGAGGTAGGAAACAGGAGAGGCTGGAGTGTCACGAGCAGCCAGCAAGGCCAGCACTGCTGTGGGTATGCCCATGCGCTCCCAGCCCACTGCCTTGACAGAGCCACTGTGTGGCGTGCTGTGCCCCTTGCCGCCAGTTCCCTCCAGTCTCTGCTGTAGCTGACAACAGGTGCATGGGTGGAGCGAGATTCTGGCAGTCACACACAGCATCCACCTGTGTGCCATGCACAGGTGGCAGTGCCAAGAGGGGAGGGCCCTCCAGCAGCCCTTTGGCTTAGAAGCCACTTCTGCACACAGTCTCTGGCTCATTTTTTTTTTTTTAATCTGTATTCGTGATGGAGAAACCCTGCCTCTCCCTGTGCAGGGAGCAGCCTGCTAAGCCTGCATGAAAACAAAGGGCTCCTAATTCAAACTGGCCTCCAAGGACCTGCAGTTTGCTAGTCTTTACTCCAGCTGAATCCTGTAGGTGGCACTGGACTTCCGCCCGGTTCATAGGCATCTCCTGCCATGCTGCCCTGTGCAGACTCCCAGCAGGAGGAGCAGTGTCCCTTGGTGTCCCAGATCGAAAGCTGACAGGGCTGTGGCTCCTCCCCCGGCTCCTTTTCTCCCCGCCGCCTGGGGAGGCCCAGCCCACGACAGAAATGGCTGCCCATGCTCTCCGTCTCCGCCGGGCTGCAGGCTCCTCTCTGTGTCCTGCCTGGAGACAAGCTCACACAGTAGGCAAGGGACACCTGAAGCCTGAATACGACGCAGTGGTGATAGGAGCAGGTAACACCGGTGGGCTGCGGGGAAGGCAGACTCCGTGACCTAGCTCATTCCTCACTCACCCACTCAGTGCACTTGGGCGGGAGTATGGAGCAGAGCCAGGTGCCCAGAACTCTGCTGTAACCTCTGGCGACAACATGCCCAGGGGCTGTCGCAAATGCTTGCCTTCTCTGGGATTGGATCTCACCGCCTCAAATGACGAGAGGACCAAGTTAGGTTAGGGGGTTCCCTGCATCTGCTGCAGTTAGTGTTCCCATATGTTCTTGGAAAGCTTGTGGCCCCAGGGTTGGGAAGAGCCAGCTAACCCCCTGCCAGGGTTCCCATGGCCACCACCTCTCCACTGGAGCTCACTCTCTCCGGTGGAAGCCACAGTCGGTTCCTGAAAGGGAGTGAAGGAGAAGCACCTGCGCCTCAGGGCCGTGTTGTGTGTCCCTGGGGCTGTGGCCCCACTGCCCTCCCCTCGGGGACAGCCAGATGTCCTCCTTCTGCGGTGGTCTTGTAGCACAGCTGACCCCCAGGCTACCGATGCCTAATGAGGCAGAGGCTCAGAACCAGATTTCCTTCCCTTCCCAGCTTTCTGCGGGACTCATAAAGGTCCCCCGGAAATGTTGGTGCCAGCTGTGTCCCCACAGAGACAATGGTCCTGAAAGGTGACTCTTGGCACTCAGCTTTTGAGTGGAACTCTCTAGTTCTGCTTCATTTTTGTATATGCTGAGGGTAGTTGCCAGCTGCTGGTAGATGTGGAACAGGAAGATGTGTGTATGTGCACGCTCACATTCACGTGTGATTCACATATAATATAGGTGTGTCAGTTCACCCATGCAGAGTCAGCTCTCTGCGTCCATAAGTTCCACATCTGCAGATTCAACCATACACGAACCGTGTACCTTGTCATTAAGCTACAATGGCTATAGCCAAACTGCACCGTGCAGACTTTCTTGTCATCATCCCCTCAGTGGTGCAGCCTGGCACCTAGGCATGAGCATTTATATCGCAGTGGCTGCTCTACATAATCCAGAGACGCTTTAACACCTGGATTGCTGGGGAGGGACAAAGGCAACGCTAGAAGAATAAACGTGGTTGGACCTGACCGTGCTTACAGTGATCTGCATCCGACAAAACCAGCCGTGGCTGGCAGCAGCCATGCACGGGAGCTGCACTCCCCGGCAGGTTCACTGTTCCAGCCAGCCTCAGGACAGGACACACCCATGGAGCAGCCGCCTGCACTGACCTTCCCTACCATGACACCTGCTCCTCCCCCACGTGATGGAAGCCCTGGCGAGGCTTTCGTGGGATGACTGATTTCCTGTTGACCTTCACTCCAGCGTGGAGTCACTGATTACACTGGGGAACTGGGTTCCACTGAAGCCAGGGCAAGAGCTAGCGTCTTCTGACTCCTCTCCCCAGATACTGCCGGAAAGCTTGAGTGTGTGTGTGGTGGGGAGGTTGGGGCAGCTAGTTCTAGGACCTTTACAGGGCTGGGGACAGGGTGAGTGACCTCGTGTCTGGAGCAAGGCATCTGCCTATCTCCCAGTAATGCTCTCTTGCCTTCTCTGTCTCATTGCAGGACACAACGGGCTTGTGGCTGTGAGTAGCTCCCCCTTGACCTCACTTTATCACCTCCCCACAGCCCGTGGCTCTCAGCAGCCTTGGGCTGGGCTGCAGCAGGGAGCAGGAGCGAGCAGGCAGGATGAAGGTGACGGCAGAGAGGGCAAAGCAGCTTCTGCCATCCACTGCTCTCAGCAAGGTGGGATGGACTGCGTACTAGGGCAGTGTGGCTCCCTGGCCTGGCCTGGTCTGAAGGCACAGGATCACCCCTGCACTCTATGAAGGGTCGGGGTCTTTGCAAAACATGTTGGGGAAAGTTGGAAGGCATGTGACCCACACAGCCTGGGAGCTGGCTCGAGCCTGGGGTCAGGTGCCTGGGGCTGGGTGTGACCTGCTGGCTTCTAGTCATGAACTCTCTTTATAGAGAGCCCTGTGCTCCCAGCTCAGTACCCGTGCTGCATATCCAGAGTGCCCTGGAAGCAGAAAAGGCCAGGCAAACCCAGGCCCAGGGCCCCTTCCCAGGGCACAGCGGCTTCTCGACCCCAAGCTGTGGCTGCTCCGCTCAGGCGCACTTCTCACACCACTTCTCAAATCATTCAAAGCCACAAAACACAGAATCCAGCAACACGGGGTGCTACAGGCCTGATGTGTACCTTAATACAGCATCTGTCTTATCACACCATTCTATATCAACATTTTACAGGGAAACATACACTACTCAGCTGCTCAGTAATTTCACTTGTTTGAGAGGCAGACAGAAAGAGATCTTCCATCTACTGGTTCATTTCTTAAATGCTTACAGCATCCATGTCTGGGCCAGGCCCAGGCCAGGAGGAGGAACTCCCGCCCGGCCTCCCAAGGACAGGCATGGAGTTAGTGGTGAGGACACTACTTGGGACACGTCTCATGCTGGTGCTTGGATTTGGGTTCCTGCTATGTGTCCAGTTCCAGCTTCCTGAGTTCCACACCCCTGGATGCCTAGGTGCCTGGGTCCCTGCCACCCACATGGGCACACAGTAGAGCTCCAGGTCCCCCACTTTGGCCAGTCTCAGCAGCTGCAAGATTTGGAGAGTGAACCAAGACAGAAGATTCTCTCTCTCTCCCTTTAAGACAAACGTGTTAATTTTTTTTTTTAATGAGGATCTCCCAGCTTGGTATCAGGGACCCCACTACTTGAGCCACGCCTTGGCTTTGCATCCCAAGGTGTGCGCCTTAGGAGAAAGCTGGAGAGGAAGCAGAGCCTGCCCCCAGCCAAGGCACTCCCACACAGGGTGTGGACGTCCTGAATGGCAGCTTGGCAGCTTAATGTCTAGGCCAAGCACCTGCCCCTGATCTGTAATTTAGAACATTGATTTGCTGTCCATCGGGCATGATCTCATCTCCCAGTCTGCTGCTTTCTGTCCATTAAAGCTGAAGACAAATCTCTTGGCATCTCAGAGCCACCGTCGGGACAATGGCAGACCCTCCCTGCACAGAGCTGTTGTGAAACTGGCCGGTCGCAAGCTGTGAGGACCTGGCCACAAAGCTGTACACACACCACAGTGCATGTAGTTAGAAGCTGCCAGGCTGATGAAGGCCTGAGTCAGTGCCCTTCAGCCGAGGAGCTCCAGGGCCATCCCTGTGGCTGCTGAGGTGGACTCATTACCCAGTACAGCAGAGGAGACTCACGCCAGGGGTGTCTCAGGCAGCCCTTCAACAAGAGGCTGGGCAGAACCCGCTCCAGGGTTTGAGGGGGCATCTAGGAAAGCATGCATGCTCTAAATTTCAGATTCAGAAATTGAGACAGTCTTTTGGTAGGGTGTCTTGGCAAACCCTATCTATGGAAACAGGGACGCATACTAGGATTGTGGGAACTGAGAAGTAGTGGCCACTTGTTTGGGCTGCGAGAGCAGGAGTCACGGGGACCTTGCTTAGATTTGTGCCATGAACCTACTCGCCATGGCTTCAGGGTGACCCTGTTTGAGGTGGTCACTCTACAAACCCAACCCATGGCTGATGCAAGAATAACTCAGCCACCCCTGCATGCTCCCTAGCTAATAGCTGCTCCTTCATCATTCTCTCTGGGGTGTGTTGGATGTGTAGACTGCCAGGGCTGGAACCCCAGCTTCTCTATCCATCAGCTCCAGGAGCCCGAGGCAGCCTGTCAACCTCACTGAGGCTTGGTTTTCTCACTTCCATACCTGCTCCAGCATAATAGAGTGTGTGATATGAGAGGACAT